CACACACACACACACACACACACACACACACACACACACACACACACCACACACACACTATAATTTGCTCCCCAATCCAAGAAGCATATAACTGGTAAAGTAATTATTTAGTATTCACTAAGCCCAATTCATTACAATAGTCATGCTAGGAAAAATTAACCCGTTAAAAGAGAAGGAAGAGGAGGATTTAGATTTATTACTTTCATCTGTGAGGAGACATCCCTTTAGAATATAAATATGTGATTTTGAAATTCTGAAATTATTTGCTTTCCTTTTTAATTAAATTTCTGGTATTTCAGTAAGAAAAATCACAAAGTCTTGAGAATATAGCAAATTATACTAATTAAAATTTGCAGACTAACACCCAATTCAATTGTATTTAGCTTTCCTATATTAAAAAAAACGAAAAACAAAACCAACTTGGTAGCCATATTTACCTTCTGAATATTACCTAAATGTCAAAAAAACACCCAAAATATTAAAGAATATGCAACCCTAATAATTACGTGAATTCTTTGTTATGTGACATTAGAGCTCTTTAAAAAGTAAATTTCCTTTCAAAATGTGATTCAGGGATCACAAGTAATCTTTATCTTTGAGATCATTTCTAGACTAATTATTTCTTGGCATATCAACGCTTATACAAAATGTCTAGAATTTTATCTTCTATATGAATATTCTTCCTCTTTAATTATAGTACTACACATACAATTTTAAAAATCACGTTCACATATACACTACCTTATTTAATCCTCACATGCTTTAAAAGTTCACATAAATTGATAGGAAGATATAAACCAAACCTCATTTAATGCCTCATCAAAACCTGTCCTATTAATCTCATAAAATTGTTATTGTACATCTTTTTATTATAATAAGTGGGAAAAAGCTAGAAGTTGTCTTTCATATCAGATTTAGGTTTATGACACATTCAGTAAACCAAAATTAATACCACAGAAGGAAAACAGGAAGGCAAGGAAGAGGAAAAGGGCTTTTACTTATTTCACACCCTCCTGTTCCTGTTTATGTTTTAACAAATATCTATTACTTTTAAATTTTAACAAGAAGTAGAATACTATAATATTCATTGAAACACCAATGAAAATCAGACAATTTGACTAACCTTATTAGTGGCATAAGGTGATCATTAAACTGCTTGTCAAAAAGATGAAAAATAGTATTGGCCTGGTGCACAACATCCAAAAAATAGAGATTTGCATTCCTAGAATCTGAAGAAGGAATTCCTAAAGTTGGAAGGCATGTATATGTTAGAATCATATTAAAGAAATTCATGTAAGCAACAGAAAAAAGAATGTGGTTTTATATATACAACATGCATAAAAGTAACTGCTGTTTCATTAAATCAGCAATAATTTTTGTGGACAGAAGAGTAAAATTAAGCTTGTTAATAATTTAATAAAATTCATCCAAAGCTTTTACATCCAAATTTTCACTATCTACTCGTCTTCATTATTTGTGGAGATAAATAAAAAATAAATCAATCAATAAATGAATCATCTTGGACTATACCTTCTCCTTCCCTTTTCTGCCCTCTTATGCGCAATGATTCATGAGCCATGAATACACTTCTATCATTTTTCTTATAACCATTTTTCTTATAACCAGGCCTCTTTACCTCTGATAACAGTTAAAATAATTTTCTTATTAGTATCCTGGTTCAAATCTCCTTATCTTTTATGCTATATATTGTTGCCATAATAATGTATTTAACATATTTCACTCACCATGTTCTCTACTATTTCCTCAAAAATAATTCAAAGTCTCCTCACTGTCAAAATAATAAATTCCAGATTTTCAGCACTGTATTCAAGCCACTTCACATTCTGACCCCAAAACAGACAGCTGGTCTCTCCAGATTTGTTTCCTCTCTTGTAAGAGAGTAATAGTTAAACTCTAAGGTCCCTACTAACCACAGACATTTATGTTTCTAGCTAAAGTTCAAAGACATAAGGGGCTAGGAAAAATACTCACAGAAAATGAGAAAACAAAAGTTTAATACCTAGAGTTCTTTAGAGGAGGAGGACTTTTTTCGAAGTTTTAAAAATGGAAAATAAAGGTGTTTTATTTTCCCATAAACGACAAAATCACCAACTGATAAGAAAATTAAAGGCTCCAACACAAATTTACAAGAGAAAAAAAATAAAGTCAATACACATGTAGAAAATACTAATCCTTGCTATTAATGAAAGACATGAAAAGGCAATAGTGATGTACATTTTTAACCACTAAATTATTAAAGTTTTTAAAGAATATTCAGTGGTGTGCAGAAAAGCTGGAATAATCATACATGCCAGCAGCAGTATAGATTAGTGGGGAAAAACCCCTTAGGAAAATCGTTTATACGTATAAAAATTTTTTAAATTTGCAATACACTTTGATCTGGTAATTTCACTTCCAGAATTTTATCCAAAGAAAATAATTCAAAATAAGGAAAACACTTTAAGCTCTACAATTGTTCACTGTAGCATTATTTATACTACTAAATTGCTGAAAAGATCCAAGATGTCTAATAATAGGGGGTGGTTAACTTTATAATATATATGCACGACAGAATTTTATAAAATCATTAGAAATAACAGCAGTATGTACTAACTAAATAGCTGCATGGAAAATGTTTATGAGTATAAGGGACATTCTCATCCTACCGGGAAATTTTTTAAGCCCTTCCAAATTATGAATACTGCTATTAAAATGAATAAGCTAGGCTTCCATACTAGGTAAAGAACAACTCCTTCATACCATATAGAATCAAATTCATGTTACTTTTTTATTATCTTCTTTAATCTTCACATCTTTGAGGTGGATATTATTATCCCAATACAAATAACCACATTAGCTTATTTGTAAATGGCAAATGTTAAATACTTGATGTCAAGTTTCTGCTGTATTGGGTGGAGTAGGGGGGAAGCAGGCTACAAATGCTTATCTATGTCCTGCAGGTTAAAAAAAAAAAAAGGGTAAGAATAAACCACAAGGTTACTGAATTATGGGTAATTCTGCTTCAACCTTAGAAACTTTATGGAATGAAGTTATATACAAACATTTTTGAGCATGTGCTATGTGCTTTCTAGGTGCTAGCCTATAATGGCAATTAAGACAGATAAGATTCTTAAGACAGGTAAGATTCCCGTGAAGTTCACTATTCAAGAGAACTTACATGCTGTTCTCTCTACTTAAAATACTCTTTCTCCAAATATTCAATTTACTCCTTCACTTCATTCAGCTCTCTGGTTCATGTCTCCTCAGAGAGGCCTTTTCTGACCAGCCTTTCTAAAAAAGCCCTCTGCCCCTGAATTCCCCATCCTACCTCCCATTACTATTCTCTATTCCTTACTCAATTTTATTTTTATTCATTGCACTTACTAGTCATTTGTCTATCTGTTCCACAAGAATGTAAGCTGCATGAGTACAAGGTTAAGGACTTAATAAGCATGTGTTCAATGAATGAATTCTGGTGAGTGAGGCAGATATTAACAAGTGAAAATTTCATTGTAACAAGTGCTATGAAAAAAGTTAATTCAATGATGAAATAATGTGTAACTAGGCTGGGAAAGGGGTGTCACTTTAGCTAGGTCGATCAGCAAAGGCCTCTCTAAGAATGTAGCCCCTTAGCTAAGATCAGAAGGGTGAAAAGCCAGACATGAGAAGAGCTGAAGGAAAAGGATTGGGGGGTAGGGAGATACCAAGTGCAAAGAACCTGAGTGAGGAAAATGAATGAAGGCCAAAGGGGCTGGGGTAGTGAGGGGAAATGCAATATGAGATGAAGATGAATATATAAGAGGAGGCCAGATCAAAAGCTATACTTTCATAAAGAGTTTTTTGTTGTTTTTCCCCTAAGAGTAACAGGAAACCACTAAAGGGTCTTAAGCAAGAAATTTTAAGACCCTTGAATTTATAACATAACTGTTACATGGAGTCAGTTATTTGGAAAGGTAAGAATGTACACAAAGAGACCAGTTAGGAATGGATAGAGATGATGATCTTTAAATCAGGGTGGCATCAGCAAAAATGGAGAAAAGTAGACGAATTTGAGTTATGTTTCGCAGTATACAGACAGGATTTGCTAATAGACTGGCTATCAGGTTTGATGAAAAGAAGAATTATGATAACTCCGGGGTTTGGGCCTTGAGCAAACAGTAAATAGTAATGCCTTTTAAAGACATGGAAAAGAAGGGGAAAGGAAGTTTAGGTGGAAGATAAAGAGTTTCATTTGGGATATATTAAATTTGAGATGCACACAGAACAGGTGAGAGAGGTCAAGGAGGCAACTGAATTAATGGGACTGGAATTTAGGGAAGAAGTCATTATTATCCTATTAATACCAGTAAACCCAGAAGACCAAAAAGAAAAAAATTTATATGAATCTATTCCTCTCCAGGCTTATTTTGAAAAGGCTTACTTTCCTTTCTAAATCTTACTTTACTCAACTGTCTCAACCAGAATTGCTGTCACTTCCATTTCTGCTCCTTTGGCATTTCATAGCTTACAGCATTGTATTACATTCTTCCATTCACTGTAGTGACTCATGTAGCCCTGGTCAATGTAAGCAATATGAGAACTGTGTCTTTCTGTAGCTTCTAGCATCTGACAAATCCTTGTTACAGAAGCTCAAAAAGCATTTTGTTGCACTGAACTGCTTTTGACAGAGTTGAATGTATATAAAACAACATTATGCATAGTTTAACCAAATAGGATCAAAGGAATTTAACACGAAGTGTAACACAAATAAATATACTTACCAGCAAGTCCTGTTTCCAAGGCATAATCAATATGTTCAATACATAAAAATTCCACAAGAATGGTAAAAATTCTAAAGGCATTCCTTGGTAAATCAGAAGGATCAGAGAGCTTTAAAAACAAAAACCAAATACATCATTCCTCAAGTTTACCTTTAAAAAAAGGCAATACTTTTTTTTTTTTTTAGCAATCAACTTTGTATAAGACATAGTCAGTATTCAGGTATCAAAATGATAACTTAAAACTCTTCCTGCCCACCCAAAATGCCTTTCTCATATACATACAGTTACAATGCTCCGTGTCTGTCTACAACTCTCCTGGCTTAGACTAGATCAATGTTTTTCTGACCTGGATTGTAACCCATTAGTGGACTGTGACAAGAAAGAAAGAGAGAAAAGAAGAGAGAACCAATAGAAAATAATGTCTAAAGTACACATTAAAACCAAATATGTTTTAATGAAATAAACACATATAAACATAACATACACACACACATAAATACATATAATAAATGTACACTCAACTGCCATGTAAAGTGCCTTTTTTATTGTGAGTCACAGTAAAAGAATTTTGAGAGCCACCAAATGAACAAATGCTATTCTAGTAAAACTCAGAACAAAAAGGATTCTTTATTTTATTGGAGGGTGGGGATGGGAAATCAATAACAGGCACACTATAAAATACGACAGGCTCAAATCCCACTTTCATCACTTCCTGGTTGAGTGAACCCTTGAGATGTTATTTAACCCCACCAAGCCTCAATTTCTTCATCTGTAAGGTAGGAATAATATTAATAGTACTTATATCCTAGCCTTGAGGTGAAAATAAAGTATGAAAATGCATGTAAGGTATTTTTAGCTCAGTGTTTGGCATATAATAGGTTCACAATAATAAATTTTCATTTTGATGTTGATGTTGCTGCTGCTGATTAACTACTTAGTAAAGGGATTATTAGTAATTATGCTGAGAAAATTAAATCCCTCTTTAAAAGTTAGAAAATTACCTCTCAACTTCTTATAACTGCTTCCTATATTATTTATCAATTGATTGTTGCCTACTTGTAGTCTCCATTTGTGATCCACTCTCAGAGTAATGGGCACTGAAGTGCATAACCCACTTTAAATTCCCTAAATCTCTACTGATTATAAATACTAATTTGGTATTACTCAATTCCCTTCCTGGTCTTCTTAATACAATCCTAACCTTTACCCTTCATCAGTCTCTCTACCACAACCCTCACTTTCCTTCTTTGCTCACTGATGCTTAACAAATGCCCTTAGCAAGCCACAAAGAATAAATTTAATTTTTCACATTCCTCCTTTCTACATCCGTACATTCATGCATAACTCATTGAAGAGGTAGACTGAATATGTGTAAGGATATAAAAGACATAAACAACACTGTTAATCAACTGGATCCAACTGACATTCATAGAATACGCTATCCAACAACATCAGGATATACATTTTCTTTAAGTATTCATAAAACACTTACCAAGATGGATCATATTCTGGGCTAAAAAACAAGTCTTGATAAATTTAAAATGGATTCATATCACACAAAGTATGTCCTCTAACCACAACGGAATCAAATTTAAATCAATAACAGAAAGACATCTAAAAAATCCCCTAATATCTGGAAATGAAATAACACACTTCTAAGCCACTCTTGGGCCAAAAGAAATCAAAAGGGAAATTTAAAAGTATTTTGGACTGAATGAAAATAAATACAACAAATTAAAATTTGTGGTATGCAGCTAAAGCAGTACCTTAAAGGGAAATTTATAAGACTAAATGCCTATATTAGAAAATAAGAAAGGTCTCTAATCAATGTCTCACCTCCACCTTAAAAAACTAGAAAAAGAAGGGGAAATGAAACCCAAGTAAGCAGAAAGAAAAGACGTAATAAAGAGTGGAAATCAATGAAATACAAAACAGAAAACAGAAAAGTCAATGATACCAAAAGCTGATTCTCTGGGGAAACCAATAAAACTGATAAACCTCCAGCCAGAATGATCACACACACAAAAATACCAATCATCAAAAATGAATAAGAGACATCGCTAAAGATTCTACAAACGTTAAAAAGATAATAAGCTACTATATATAAAATAAACAACAAGGTCCTACTGTAAAGCAGAGGGAACTATATTCAATATCTTGTAATAACCTATATTGAAAAAGAATATATATATTATATATATTATGTATCTATAACTGAATCACTTTGCTATACACCAGAAACTTAACACTGTAAACAAATTATACTTCAATTAAAAATCACACACACACACACAAAATCCACTGACCATAAAAAAAAGATAATAAGGCAATACCATGAACATCTTAATCCCAATAAATTCAACAATTTGTGTGAAATATACAAATCTTAAAAGACACAAACTACCAAAACTCACTTAAAAAGAAACAGGTAACTAAAATAGCTCCATATCTACTAGAGAAGTTAATTTGTAGTTTAAAACCCTCACAAAGTTAAAAACTGCAGGCCCAAATGACTTCACTGGTGAGTTCTACCAAATATTTAAGGAAAATATAACACCAATTTTACATAAACTCTTCCAGAATATTGAAGAGGAAGGAACACTTTCCAACTTATTCTATGAGGCAAACATTACCCTGATACCAAAACTACACAAAGACATTATGAGAAAAAAATATGTACACATCAATACCCCTCTTGAAGGCAAACACAAAAATTCTTAACAAAAGTTTAGCAAACCTAATCCAACCATACATAAATAGGATAATACGTGATGACCAATGGGGTTTATCAAAGGAATGCAAGGTTAACATTTGGAAATCAATGTAATCCAACCACATTAACAGAACAACAAAAAAAGCATTTGACAAAGTCTAACATCTAATCCTTATAAAAACACCCAGAAAACTAGGAATAAAAGAATTTCATCAATCTGATAAACAGCATCTATGAAAAACAAATGGGACCTAATTAAACTTAAAAGATTTTGCACAGCAAAGGAAACCATAAACAAAACTAAAAGACAACCTACAGAATGGGAGAAAACATTTACAAATGATGCGACTAACAAGGGATTAATTTCCAAAATATACAAACAGCTCATAAAGCTCAATAACAAAAAAACCAACAACCTAATCAAAACATGGGCAGATGACCTAAATAGACATTTCTCCAAAGAAGACATACAGATGGCCAAGAGGCACATGAAAAGATGCTCGACATCGTTAATTATTAGAGAAAGGCAAATCAAAACTACAATGAGGTATCACCTCACACCAGTCAGGATGGCCATCATCAAAAAGTCTATACATAATAAATGCTGGAGAGGGTATGGAGAAAAGGAAACCCTCCTACACTGTTGGTGGGAATGTAAATTGGTAAACGTAAATTGCAGTCACTATGGAGAACAGGATGGAGGTTCCTTAAAAAACTAAAAATAGAATTACCATATGATCCAGCAATCCCACTATTGGGCATATATCCAGATAAAACTATAATTCAAAAAGTTACATGCACCCCTATGTACATAGCAGCACTATTTACAATAGCAACACATGGAAACAACCTAAATGTCCTTTGACAGATAAATGGATAAAGATGTGGTGTGTGTATAAATTTATATATATATATATATATATATACACACACACACACAATGGAATACTAGTTAGCCATAAAAAGAAGGAAATAATGCCATTTGCAACATGTATGGATCTAGAGACTATCATAGTAAGTGAAGTAAGCCAGACAGAGAAAGACAAATCTCATATGATATACCTTATATGTGGAATCTAAAAGAAAAAGAAACGACACAAACGAACTTATTTCCAAAACAGAAAGAGACTCACAGACACAGAAAACAAGCTTATAGTTACTGAAGGGGAAAGCGGGATGCGAGAGGGATAAATTAGGAGGCTGGGATTAACATATACACACTATTATGTATAAAACAGATAACCTGGGCTTCCCTGGTGGCGCAGTGGTTGAGAGTCTGCCTGCCGATGCATGGGACACGGGTTCGTGCCCCGGTTCGGGAAGATCCCACATGCTGTGGAGCGGCTAGGCCCGTGAGCCATGGCCGCTGAGCCTGTGCGTCCGGAGCCTGTGCTCCGCAACGGGAGAGGCCACAACAGTGAGAGGTCCGCATACCACAAAAAAAAAAACAACAACAGATAACCAACAAGGACCTACTGTATAGCATAGGGAACTATATTCAATATTAAGTAATAACCTATAAGGTTACATATTTATATGTATACATATATATGTATACATATCGCTGTGCTGTACACCTGAAAGTTACACGATATTGTAAATCAACTATATGTCAATAGGGGCTTCCATGGTGGTGCAGTGGTCAAGAATCTGCCTGCCAGTGCAAGGGACAGGGTTCAAGCCCTGTTCTGGGAAGATCCCACATGCCACGGAGCAACTAAGCCCACGCACCACAACTACTGAGCCTGGGCTCTAGAGCCCTCGAGCCACAACTACTGAAGCCCGCGCACCTAGAGCCCATGCTCCGCAACAAGAGAAGCCACCACAATGAGAAGGCTGTGCACCTCAACAAAGAGTAGCCCCTGCTCGCCACAACTAGAGAAAGCCCGTGCACAGCAACGAAGACCCAACACAACCAAAAATAAATAAATAAATTTTAAAAACCTATGCGTCAATAAAAAAAAATTAAAAAAAAGAAAAACCTACAGTTAGCATTATATTAATAATAAAGACAAGAATAATGCAGGGTATAGGGAGGGTGGGAGGGAGAAGCAAGAGGGAGGGGATATGTGGATATATGTATACGTATAGCTGATTCACTTTGTTATACGGCAGAAACAAACACACCAGTGTAAAGCAATTATACTCCAATAAAGACGTTTAAAAAAAAGATTAAAAAACAAACAAACAAAAAGAATAATGCAAGGTGTATGCTCTCGCCACTTATAGTCAGCATTGTACTGGAGGTTCTCACCAGGGCAATAAGGCAAGAGACAAAACAACAGGCATCTATATTGAAAGGAATAAGTAAAACTGACTTTATTGGCAGAAAACATGATATTCTATACAGAAAATCCTGTGGAATCTACAAAAAATGCTATTAGAATAAGCGAGTT